TTCGTTTGACTGATCTTCGCTTTCTTCTTGCATTTTGTTGCCGAGCCGCTCTCCTTTTGGGGTTTCTTCCCAGTTTCATTATTTGGTGGGCCTTATTACCTGCTTTGTAACGATCCTTGTTTTAAGGTTATAACTCAGACATGCATAGTACAAAACCAATCATTTTCTAGGAAAACATTGGTAATATGTCTATTGATACATACCTGTAATGGCGCAGCAATTGAATAAACGCTTTTTAGGCACAGCTCTAGGAAAATACCACAATTTTTATAATTTCACGAAAGAAACTTGTTGTCGAAACACTTGTTGTATTTACTATCAGCAAACGACATCTTATTAAGGCGGAACTCTATCGAATATTAAATATTACCTAGTAAAATCATAAGATGGCAGCCCCAGTATTATAATTTAAAAAATGAAGGTAAAATGGCTGTCGGGCCTTATAACCTGCTGGGCCTTATTACCCGCACTTACCTTAGAGATAATAAAGTAATTTTGACATTTAGTATTATTTTACAAGAAAGGCACTTTATTTTAACCATTCTATGCCATTTGACAAATTGTCAACTAACTGAAAACTAACTTCAGCCCGTGACTAAAAACCTGTAGCTAACTTCAGCCTTTGACTAAAGCGCCATAAAGCCACAACTTGTTAATTTGTATTTAAAAGGTCACTTAGTGTTATGGAAACATGTACCATAATGGGCTTTTTAAAGGTGGGAGTAGAAAATATTAATATAAATTTAAAACCCTAAATATTAAAGACACCAACATAAACTACTCATAAAGAAACTACTATGTTTTGGAGCAAATTTTAATAATAATTATTTTTTCAGTCAAATGTCCAAAAAAAATTCCTACTGGCATTGTTATGAAAATTATTAATTATTAGTTTTAACTAATTATAAAAAGACAAATAGAGATTAATTTTATAGCAATTAACTTTCATATGTGCGTATTGATGTTTTTTTCCTAAAATAAACAATTTATTTGTATCCTACGAGTATATCTAACAACTATTTATTAATATTCAGATCTATAATTTATAGCGCTTTGGAGAAAGTAGACTAATTTCTGTACAACGCGTTTTGCTATGTATAATGGACCGTTAAATATTCTAGTAGAATCTGCATATGGTTAATGTGACAACGTAAAATTTATTTTGATTTCTAAATGAAGTAGGAGTTGATAAATATTTAAAACAAGGCTTATCATAGGAATTTAATTATTTTGCATCTTCTCTTTGTTAAAATTGCTTGAAATATTAGAAAATGTTGTGTTCTGCAGCAGAACTTCTGATAGGTTTTTATTAAGTTTGTTAACTCCATTATTCATGTTAGTTTTTAGTTATTTATTATAAATTGGTTTATATTTTCTTTAGTAAAGCAAATAGGTTTTAATTGAAGTAAAATCAAGAGAAGAGATTGTTAATAATAATTATGAAAGTTTTCTATATATTTTTTTTTATAAAATTATAATAATTAAAAAGATTTTAATTAAATGTAGGGTATCTAATTGGCATTTACTACACAAAGTTTTCATTTTAAGATTAAATTTTGTTGATTTGATCAGGTGGAGAAATTAAATCAGTTTTGATACAATTTTAAGGGAATGCCAACTAAAATGAGCTCTTTTGACGAACACAAAACTTTTCCAAAAATAATTGTGAAATAAATATTATTGGCGACATTCTAAAGTTTGAGTGTTTTTATATCGTTGACCTATGTTGCATTAGCACAGATACTCATGTGTGCACATACAAAGAGAGGTCTTTGGCCATTGGTCTTGACTTTCGCGGTGAAATTATCATGAGGCATGCTATGCACCGACCATAACACCACTTTCAAATACGTTCTCTTTACTCGTAAATGCGTTATTAAACATTATCGAGCGATATTTTGCACACAACGTCTTGCTTGTTTTCATAAAGAATTAGCATACAAATTTTGAAAATTAAAAAGGGTTTCGTAATAGTGCAAGAGTGTCAAGAAAAGCTCCAGAAAAAATCATTTATGGATATAATTGATCAATAAGGCTTAATTTAACGTTAATAGTAGTATCTTTTCTAAATTGTGCGATGAACAAATTTTATAAAGAAGAAAGATTACGAGTATTATAAAAGTATAAAGGATCGAGTGGAACAACTATTTATATTTATTCATTATTAGCATGAAAGCTTCGGGATGGGGATTTAGCATAGAAAAAAACGACTGACGTAAAACAAATTACAGTCAGAATATATATAAAAATGGTAGGACAAATTTGCACAGTAGTTCAAATTTAAAAAAAAGTGGAAAAATTTTACTAGTAGTATTAATGCTCCAAAAAATGCTGACAAATTTCCAAAATTATAAAAATTTAAAATTTACAAAATCCAACCTTTTTAACATTTCAGTCTTGAAAATTCCAAAAAATGTCAGTTTTCAAAATTAAAAAAAAAAATTCAAAAATTTAATTCTATTTATTTACACATTTTAACTAGATATTAAAATTTAAAAACGGGAAAGTACTTTATTATTTATGGCCAAAGGAAAATTAAAATGCACGTAAAACCTTGTTTAACTACCAATTATCTTAAATATTTTGAATTTTAGATTTTATTATCAAAAAATGCATTATTTATTTATGTTAAGTAAGTGTTTTTGAAGCCCTTTACAAAGTAATTATTGTCTGATTACATTAAGAATGTAAAAAAACACTTTTGAATGACAGAGTTGTTTTTGTTAACAAAAAAATTAGGTACATTTATGTATAAATATCATTTGACTTAATTTTAAACAACCGGACTACTTTAATCAATTAATTTTATAGACATAATAGGTATCCTGGTCACACGCAAAATTAATTGTTTTAAATTGTGATTTTAAATTTTAAATATTCTAAAAACAGGTTTATAATTAGGCAACTAGGTATCTATTTATAAAAAAAAATAACACGTTATTTTCATTGACTTTTTTAATAATAACAATAGTTATTTGTGCGAAACAAATCTCATGTGCGCCACAAAACCTTCAAAATATTTATACAGGCATTATTTTTATTTAATGCATGATATAAAATAATAATCCGCTTTATTATGGCTATATGCACAAATCATAGTTGAGATTTTGTGGCATAAACAATTATTGAATTTTTTCAATATCCAAGTTTTGTAGAGAAAAAATATTTTTTCATTTAACAAAACGCGATGGATTGATTCCAAAAAATTAATGTTTGCTCAATAAATTTGAACCATATTTTCTGAACATGGTTTGTTTTTAATAAGACCCCAGACCCAATTAAATACCTTTAAGTATGAAAATTCGTAATTATAAAAAGAACAACATTAATATTTATTTTAAACCATTTAGTTGTGCCTAATTACCGTAGTTATATTAATATAGTTTGAGATATGTTAAGTACAGAAAAATATTATGCAAATAACAAACTATGAAAAAAAAACACAATATTATCTCAATGTAAATGTTTTTTCTTACAATTTACTGTTTTATAATTTACAGTATACAATTTAATTATAGTATTATTAGTAATATGTATGTAATTTAGTCAGTTTGTATTTGTTTAACATACATTTTTATAGTACCAATAACCTTCTCTATCACTTATGATCCAGGATCATATAGATATGATTTAGTAAAATCCGTTCTACTAGAAGTAGAAAAGGACCCAAAATCACCCTGATTTTTTATATTTTTTATAGTGATAAAATGAAACCATTCACGATTTTGTTAAGGTAGGTCATGTTCTCGACCATGACACTCCGAAAGGTGAAAATACATGGGCGAATGTGGGAGAACTCTGCAGAGTAATACATCACGGTTGCGGTGTTGTCAAATGCATATGGTAAAATTCTGTGAAAGGATTCAAAACAGAAAAAAATGTATACAAAATAAAAATTTTAAACTACAGAAACAATTAATGCAAAATATTATGCAAAGAATAATTTAAAATCCTGGAAAATCATGAAATTTTGTCGAAAATTAAAAAAAATCGTAAAATTGCTATTAATAAAATATAGAAAATCATTAATTATTAATAAAAAACTATAAAAAATAATGTACAAAAGCAAATTCAAAAGCATGTTTTTAATAAAATAAAAACTAATAAAAATGATGATTAAAAGTGTTATTATAAGTATGTTGAGACTTTTTTATACTTTTAACTTTTGCTCCACATTCAATAAAAATTTAGAACAATAATTTTATACAACAGGATATTTTTAACGAAAAAAAAATTAATAAAAAAGTATCGAATAAACCTTAATTTACAATAAAAAAATTAATTTTTTGTAAAAAATCTATTATAAACTTAAAAATTATTCTTTTAAACATTTTTTGCATTTTTTTTAAATCAAAAAAAAATTAAAATCAAACTTAAAATTTGACCAAAAAAAACTTTATTTTTTAAACTTAAATTATCATCCATCAAACTTTAAAAAAATGCTTATAATTAAGAACTCCACATAAAATATTAAAAATAAACCTAATATAACACACAATAATTTTTTTGGTGTTTTTTATTATTCAGTTAATATTATATTATTATGTATTACTTACCCTAAACAAAAATCTGTAAGCAATCACATATAAAATAACCATGTTATTAATAATATTCCTAAAAATTACATTTTTAATACAAAATGTTCTGGAATGTTCTAATTAAAAACAATTTTTCCATTAATAATCCTATTTTAACAAATCTTTATGTCATCAGCATCTTAAAAATATAATATTTGCTATATTTAATTTTCATTAAAAAAACAATAGGTATTTTATAATCCCCCCATATTTGTCACCAAAAATATTATTCATCATTTCATCTCTTATCTAAAACTTTGAAAATCCTCATAATCCCGCAAAACTCGAAACCCGGTGTTTACCTTCAGTCCGACAACAATGCGTTGACTTTTCCACCGAGCGCTGCACGCTATCAAAGCCGGCGCTGGGGGGACCGGCCCCCCCAAATCCTATAAAACGCCGCCAAACATCGGCAAACACTTCAGTTCGCTTAAAGCTAGGTTACAAGACACATTGTGGCAGTAGCAAACTTCATTCACATCATCGCGTGTGTGACCTATATTTTGATTTTCATTTGTGAACATATTTTTTTAACAACAATAACTGAGAAGAAATTTTAACTATTTAGTTCCGTCCGGTGTGTTGTGAATAAGACTGAAATTTAGTGATATATTTGTGATATTAGTGTATTAAGTTCATGATAATGCCAGCTCCTATAACAGATACCATCAACGAAGACCAGGAGAAGGATTTGGTTCCCGAACTGACTTCCAAAATGATGGAGACTCGCGATAGCATTTCATCTATCGACAGCGATGTTTCGTTGTCTTTTGATAAACCCATCGCTGAGAATCCCAATGAGGATGAAGGTGCTCATATGGCAGATCTATCCGATTCTTCCTCCGACACAGGGTCCCATGGTGGTGGTAAAGATTCAGGTTGCGAAGTTACCCCTGAGTTATCCGAACCTCCATTTAACCCACCCAACGAAGAGCTATCGGAAAAAATTGTCCAGCAAGTGGAATTCTACTTCTCCGATGCCAACATCACGAAAGACGCGTTCCTCTTAAAACACGTTAAGAGAAACAAGGAAGGGTACGTCTCATTAAAATTAATATCAAGCTTTAAACGCGTAAAACACCTCACGAAAGACTGGAGGGTTGTTGCGCACGCTCTACTAAGGTCTCAGAAGTTGGAGATAAACGAAGCAGGCACTAAATTGCGCCGTTTAGATCCACTACCACAGTATGATGAAACTACCCCGTCCAGAACCGTAGTTGCAGTCCATATGCCCATAGAAAAACCTACAATTGAGAATGTAGCTGAATTGTTTAAACCCTGCGGCGAGATCGCCCTAATAAGAATCTTAAGACCTGGCAACCCCGTACCAGCCGATGTAAGACAGTTCATAAACAAAAACCCATCATTGGCTGGAATGACCTGTGCACTAGTTGAATTTGTACACTCCGAAGCCGCCAGAAACGCTATCCAAATGCAAACCACTGTGGTAGAAATGAAAGTGTACGAACTAAACAACGTACCTCACCCAGAACGCAAGAAGAAATCCAACAACAGAAAAAACTCGCTTAACAACAACAATCACTCAAGCAAAAACCTCAATGAATCTGACTATATTACTTCCTCGTGTCAGAGCGGTTCCGAAGCTGAAGACATAAAAAAATTCGATCCCAAAAACAAGATGCGTCGTGGCTCGTCAGCTCACTTCCCCTCGCGTTACATCGAGCCAGCTGCGTGGTTGCAGCGCCGTCTGTCAGCTTCGAGCACCGAAGCTAACTTCATCTATATGCCCAGAAGGTTGTCTTACGGTTCTAGAGATTCCAGCGATTCTAGCCTCTTTTTACCCAGACGTATGTCGGCGTGTAGCATGTCCAGTACGGATTCGTACAACAGGCGACTTTCTTCTGGGAGTCAGTCTTCAGAGTACAGCTCCCCTAGGTCGAGAAGCAATTCGGCTGCTTTCCAGGCGACCGAGAATGTTTTGAGGATGCCCAAAGGTCCCGATGGAAGCAGAGGGTTCAGGCAAAGATCTAGCCTTGTTAGTATTGCTCAGTAATGTAATTGCGTCATGAAAAATGCAAATAATTCAATCTCCTGATGTTTTCATTATCATTCATAATACGCCTGATGTAAAAACTTTTGAGGTTTCGTGTTTTGTACAGAATGCATTTAAATAGCAATAATTAATAATCCTGTTTGTATTGGTGCATTTTATATGATAAAAGGAGTAGGAAGTCATTGCAAGAAAAATATTGATAATATACCGAATTTAATAAAATGCAAATTGCGGACCTTGACAGTCAGTTCAATGTTTAACTTAACAATATAATATAAAATAACTGGATTTAATTTGCCGTTGGTTAGCTGCAACGAGTTCATGTCCTAGATTTCATGACTTTCACCAAATTTATTCGATGGCGTTAAAATTCAACAAGTAAATAGAAATTGATACATTTTTCTTTATAATGTATTTTAAATTATCAAATCAACGAACTGTACTTTTTTGTTTGATTGGTTTTACTCCTTTGATTATATAGACCACCATACTTTCTTCAACCATATATTCTTCAACTTTCTATAATATCTTTAATTAAAAGATTCACCTACTTTTTCTTAATTTTAATTTAGTTATTTTAGGTTTCTTTCTTTTATTTTTTAAGGTCTAATTCTCCACCAAAACCTTTTCGTTTTAGAAATGGTTTACCAATTTACTACGTCTAGTTTTATATAAAGATAGCGCATTAACATTAACAATTATAAAAATTGTGTTTATTTCTGTTTTAAATAACTTAATACCATGTAATTTTTTAAAGCTATACCAGAAATTTTTGTAAATAATTACTTGTATTTATTTTCTTTTATTTATTTTATGTTGAGTGTCTGTTGTGTGAATGTTAGTTTATTTATTTATTGCTTTGTTTTTTTTACAATAAATTTTTTGGGGAATATATTTGCATTTTTAATTCTACGACTTAATATGAAGTTTATTAAACCCTACATGAACATTTATCGATCAAATAGTAAACTTTATTTGTTTATAAATCTGCCTTATTGGTTTTTTATTGATGAATAATGAGTAATTAAAATTATAAACATTTAATCTTAAATGTAAAACTCAATTAAAAATATAGAATTGGTAAGATGGTACAAATGTACGCAAGTATGCAGTTTATACTATACACTGCCCACATTTAGGGCACTTTACCATTCCTTTACTTAGCTGCTGCAGCATGTTTGTTATTTACTTCATTGCAAAACTATCTTCCATGTTTTAGGTTTACAAGTATACAAGCGTTTGGTGAAAGTATTTCTTTCTACCGTAGATTTAACGGTAATTTATTTATAGCTAGGTATAAATCTTGTTAGTAGTAGTAACGATATTTCAATTTCCATTTAATAAATTATTAGGTTTTCTACAACCTTGTTTGACATTTTCACAAATTAATTAAATAAATACACTCACCGGCAAAAAAACAGAAATTGGCAACAACTTTAATGTTGTCTTCAATATTCAGATATTTTTATTTTGATTTTTATTTCATTATATCTATAGTACCTACAGGGTGCTAAAGTAATTAGTGACACCCTTTGCGTCAACAATAACAGCGGATATCTTATCTTTTCAGAACATATTGTTTTTTTTCTGTTATTAATGAAGATACACTGTTTTAAAGCCAACTTACACTGTTCAAAATTTCATGGTGTTAAATATGGTTCGTTGGTCCAGTGTAAATTCAAATACTAAAATGGTGTAAATTTAACTTTCACACAGTGTTAAAATAAATTTTACCTGGTGCAAATTAAACTCCTTTTCAGTGTTAAATATAATGTGTTTTTGGTCAAATTAAATCATACTACACAGAAAAAAGGAAAAAAAGGTAACAGGAAGTTCCTTGACGCATTACAAGTATATTACCAGTGGTATTATTCCAGAAAATTGAACCTTCAAATCGCTAGAGATAAAGTTTTTAGTGCGTTCCACCAACTTAAAATACTTCAAATATTGACAGCTGTATCCACCTACATATTTAAGGTCTCTTTAGTATCGAACAACTTGTAGTTTCACACCAAAGCAAAGGACTACCTGAGCTTATATACTCTTCATGTAAGTCAACAGAGGTGAGATTTAAGAACAACACGTGACCCACAACGCCTTTGCCGCGATCGGTACACACTATGCAACAAGGAATGCACGGCAAATTGTTTTAATCTTTTTAACAGAGTGCTTTAGGTTGAAGTAACTCTTATTTTACAAACAGCATATTTAGTAAACTGAACCATACAGCGGGTTGGTTTCACTAAAGTTTTCTGGGCTAATTTAACCAATTTAAAAAAAATAAAATAACTATCTGGTTTAGTACCGGTATACCGTCAAACTAATCTTTGTTTATATTACCCTTTCCACAGTTGATTTAAATAAATACTTATGTGTCAACTAAATTAATATAGTTAAATGAACTATTCGTTTTTTTCTGTGTAGGTGCACTTCTCAAATATTTTTAGATAAACACCGTTTTGGTGTTTGCTGTATAAAACATTTTCAACCATAATTCATGGTGTTTATATTAACACCACTTGATGTTGGATTTTGACACCATTTTAAGATTACTCTTCACACCACAGATATTTTAAACAGTGTATTGGATAAAGTTTTCGTAAGATTTTCTCTCGAACCGCTCATCTGATTTTGATGATTTTTTGTAACTGTTCAGTAACAAGACTATAATAATATACATTTGTATTCAGATTTTAATTTAAGCTTACCTATAAGGATGCAAACGTAAGAAGAAGTTTTTTTCCCAAAATTCACTCGTAAACCGCTCATCTAATTTTAATGATTTTTGTTTTAAATTGTAGGTTGACTTTTCAGTTACGTTTCAGTTACGATGCAATGGTATATATTTTTATTCTAATTTTAATTTGAGCATATACAGGGTGAGTATATTAGTTATTTATTTTATACCTATGATGAACCAATCAAAATCCTTGAATTTTCGAATAAATTTCGTTTAAATAAGCGATTAAATCACTAGAACTATTTAACAGCGATTAAATTTTAGCCTCCATATTGGATTTTTGTTTACCATTTTATGGTGTTATTTACAAGTTTTAACAAACATTTAAAAAAAAACAATAAAAAATAAGTTATCTAGTTTACGAAATATCAATTATTACTTATTACATACCTTAAATTAATGGAATTTTCTTTAAAAAAATATTTATAAATTTTGATACATACGTCAGATTTTATGAATTGTCAAATTTTTCCTTTAATTCGAGAAATAATCTAGACGTATATTACTCAACCTATAAATTTAATCTGTCAAACTATGCTCAGGAAGTTTTTTATTTGATTTTTCTTTTTGCAAAATAGTTTCATGCAAAATAATTAAAAATAAAACCCCTCGACCGCTACGCGGTCTTGTGATTTTATTAAATTATTTTGCATTCAACATTTTCCAAGAAAAACCAAACAAAAAACTACTGAGCCTAGTTTAACCGATTAAATTCATAGTTCTCGTGATATAATATATGATTATATATTTAGAGTAGTTATTTATTTAAAATTTCGAAATTTCCACAAAAATTAAAAAGGGATATTTTTTAAAATCCTCTACAAAATTTTTAAGGAGGGGCAAAGATGCAAGTTGTCGCCCCTATTTTTTAGAATAAAGTGGGAGGAAAATGAAAAATCGGTGTAAAAGAATTTATTTTGTTTAAAAAATTAGATTATTGTAAAGTAAGATCCCAGACCCTCCCGACCTACGTCATTTTAGTACTGCTAAGATTTTTTTAATAAATGTCTTAAAATGTAGTTAAAAACTAGGCATACGTTGCTAGCTTGAACCCATGTTATAGTAGTACTGAAATTTTTTTTACATATTATTTGGGTGATTATTTTAAGACCGTTTGTAAGAAGCCAGACCAATCGGAAGGGCCTTACCCCCCTTTCAAACTCGAGAAAAAAATCGAAAAACCTACGTTATAGTATTAGGTAGGTACTCCTGATTTTTTTATATATAAAAAATATTAGTTTTATTTGGCACAGTCCAATATATATATAAATATATATAAGACTGTGCCAAATAAAACGAAAATTAGGTTGCATATCATAAAATAAAATTGCCTTAAAAATTTAGCCCCCTATCTCCATTATTCAGTTAACGCTGGCTTAAATAAGAATTTTTCATGAAAAAAAATTATTTTCGCAATTTTTTGTTTTATAAATCATTAAATATAACAGATACAAAAAATACCGTGATATGTTTTGTAGAGAATTAAATTCCCTACAAAGAATAACCGAATTAAAAATATCCCCCACGTTTTTTTAAGCTAAAAAGAGTTAATTTTTTTAAAAATTTATATTTATTGTTTTCAAGTTTGAATTTATTGAGCTATTATTATATTAATGGTAATAATATATTTTTTTTTAATTTTGACGATTTTCTCATTTAACTTTTTTATATATTTTTCTGTATTATTTATAATAATAATATATATTATGATCATATTGCCATTTACAAGAAATTCTTAGTTTTCTGATAAAAATTGATTGTTATAATGAAAATTCGTACTGCATGCATTGAAATTGAAAAAATAAACGAAAAAAAGCTTTATTCTAAAATTTGGTAAATTCGCAAAAATAAAACTGCAATTAAAAAAAATATTTTTGATAAGAGGTAATAATTGTAATATTACAATTTGTTGTAGCACTTGTATTGTTTTTTTCTCGCTAATCCAAATTTTATGTATTAAAATAATTTTATATTGATTTATATTTTGAAAGCAATGTATTTTTTTGCCAACTATAACACTGATCAACAGCCATTTTTAATAAAATAAAAGCCATGGGCAAAAGACAAATATTAAAATATACACATTTATTAAGTTTTTCCCCTTAAAAATAATGTTTTTACAAAATAAAATCTTTTTAAGCCAAATTTCGACAATTTTCAAAATTTAAAGTGCTGTCAAGCAAACAATATTTGTCCAATTTTAATGAAAAAATAGTATATTGTGCAACAAGTGAAAAAATAGTCGATTGTAAAAGAACGTTTGGCACGCAAGCGTAGCCAGCGGGGCAAGAATGCAAGTAAATCATCAAGTGAATCTACCGGACTGTCATATTAGATTCAACTGGGGTTCCGCCATTAAAAATAGTCTAAGAAACCTTGCTTTGTAGAATCAAACCTATTGTTAAATATAGCAGTTATAATTTGATTTATTAGTAATAAATTATTACACAAAATAAAAAACTTTTTTGAGATATATCGATAAAAAGTAGTGGAATATCTACAACTTTTTGTTGAAGCCATATTGAAACTATTATTTAATTTATTTAGTTTGCTTAAAGTTATTGAAACTTCAAGTTTTATTTTAAATTTTAAATTACAGTTCTAGGTTCTTCAAAGTAATTTTAATAAATTACATTAGGGTACCAAATATTAAAATAATAATTTTTAAGTTACCAACCTTGTAATTTATTTATTGTTCCAATTTCAGAACTTTAACTTGCAATGGGACTGCAAAGTAAAAATAATTATATGGTAATCTTTAGGTAGCAACAGAAAGTCACTGCCACCAAAAAATTTTACTACAAAGTTATTTTTACTTATAACACATTTTTTATAGTCTTATGTCGGGCGAACCAGTTGTGCGACCCGATGGTTCACATCTGAATGTTATTTGTATAAAAAAAATTCCACCATGTTTAATAAAATTAAAAAAAAATAATATCTTATATTTATAGTTTTTTGTAATAACCGTTCAATATCAATTATCTTTAAAGAAAAAATAAC